AAAAAAAAAAAAAAAAAAAAAAAAAAAAAAAAAAAAAAAAAAAAAAAAAAAAAAAAAAAAAAACACCGAGGTTACTAACAATCATTTGGCATTGAAAGTAGTGTTGGAATTCACAAGCCATAAATTCCTCGGTGGTCTACAAATAATAATGAAATAAAACTGTCGGCTTTTCATATTGTAGAGCAAGAACATGAGGGGACAACATAAATCCAATAGACATTCGAACCCCAAATGTTTGGCTTTGGAGTGGGATTGTTGACAAATCCCCATCTTTTTACAGACAAGAATTTGACTGTAAATTAATTGGTCTGAAAGAGAAACTACTTTTTGACTGCTGCCTTGTTTTACCCGTTCTTTATTACAAAATAGAATGGAAAAGGTAAAAAAGAAAAGGTTTTTGAAAAAGAACACCAAAGCTAATTAAGTTAAGTTGGTTTGAGAAGCAAAGTAAAGGTCATAATGTAATCATCTTAAATTGAAGAAGAAGAGGGGGAAATTATAAAGAAATTTATTTATAAAAGAGGGAAAGAGAAAGAAACCCTAGAACATGGCGCCCGCCATCATGAACAGCCTGAGAAACAAGACCCATCAATCCCACGCTCCCACCTCCATAAACAAGATCAATGCTTCTCTCCACCTTCAAACATTAAAAATTCAAACACATCAATCAACACGCGTTGCAGTTGAATCATCATTAAACAACAACAATAACAACAAAAAAAGAAAAAAAAGGGAAAATTTGAATTTTTTAACCAAGAAATGGGGAATTGGGAAATGAAATGACCCATTAATTTGAATAATAATGGGGAAAATGGGGCATAGAAGGGTGTGATGTGAAGAACGCTCATGCAAGCTCTCATCATGTCAAGCAAGCACGTTTGGTTTCCCAGTTGATAATATTTATACAAACCCTTAAATTATATGAATTTGATAATTAAAACATGTTGAGATCATGCAAGAAGGCTGCTCAACTGACAGGCAGGTTACAGCTCAAATCTCACTGTCTTTCTCTTTCTCTCCCTCTCCCTCGAGGTTGAAGATAAACACAAACCCTATACCATCTTCAAATTCAAACTTCAAAAACCTCAAGTGGATGAGTTGTGATATGAAAATGGAAAGAGAGGACTTTTTGAAAAGGTAAAGAGATAAAAAGAAAAAGCTTCATTTGTCATAACAAATAGGAATATTGAGAGAATGACTTTATGTCAAATTAAGGTTGATTTGGTTCCCAAAGTCAAAATACAATACTTGGGAAACAAAAAAGATGGAATTTTTCGAAATGGGTTTTGAAAAAAATGCAACAATGAATGATTAAAATGCATGAAAATGAAAACCCAGATCATGGATTGTGAGAAAAATACCAGTTCTTGGCCAAGCTCCACAGCAGCAGATTGGTAGGTAGGCTTCTTCCCAGAACTGCTTCCACAAAACACACAAATCCTCTTGAATCTCGACTGTGTCCCTTCCATTTTTGAATCGCTAAATTTCTGTTTACAAAATGATTGATCTCCTTGAAGAACAACCACAACAACAAGAAGAAGAAAAAGAATAAGAGGTTTGAGAATGAAATGAAAGTGAGTATTTGTTTATATAGCCACCAAACTCTCTCCCCAAACCACTATTTTCTTTTTCTTTTTTTTTTTAATTTCTGTTTATTTTATTTAAATAGAAAACCAAAAAGTTTAAAGAAATAGCTTTGGTTCTTTTCCGAAATGGAAACCGAGTTGTTATGTTTTAAATAGTGTGGAAACAGGAATTTTTTTTTAACAAAACTCTTTTTTCTAAAAAAAAAATCATTTTTACATTATTTTCATTTTGGGCTATGGATTACGAATGTGTATACGTAATCTACTGCGCGTGGACCCTTAAATCAATAGCAAATAGAAATTTGACACCTCGACAACATTTTTGGGTCCCACCTTGGTCAAAATATTTTTAAAACTTACATTCCCTCGTTAAAATATTTGATTAAACCTTTTGGATTAATTTTGGTCATACATTTAACTATAATCATTAATCGCGTTTACATAACCTTTCTGCACTTCATTTATTCTTAATTTAACACCCAAATCCATCTTTTAAAATTACAAAAATGGGATTAATTCATGTTATATGTCGGTATTATATGGTTAAAGGTTATTCCATAAAACGAATAAGTCAACGATAGGAATATAATAAGTGATAATGAAAGCAATAACTTGTAAAAGTGGTGGAAACAACTTAGTTATTAAATTAATAATTTTCTTTTTTTTAATTTTGGATGTCACAACAATATCCATATATCAAACCAAACCGTATATATTTCATAAATTTATAATCTTAACATCAACATCCATTTGATATTATAAAATTTTCATTCATTTAATTCCAAATTATTTAATGAGAATTAAATTAAGTAATTGAATGGGGATTTTTTTACAAGAGAAAAGCTAGGGGATATCTGTCTCGTGCCCAATATTAAATATTTGTCCAAATAAGACTTTGGGGTTAACAATACTAAATTAAATAGATATTAACCATGGGCTTCGTTTGACCATGATGTGTTGGGTGTGTGAACGAGGTTGCTTTCCGACGCCCTCCAAACCAAGATGCTTACCATTTTTAAAAAAGATGAATTAAAAATAAGAGTTGTGAGTTCAACTTTTTATGATTACATTAAAGGAAAAAACAAGGCAATTGTGGATCAGTTTGTTCCACTGTTTTTGTTTTTGGTAAAAATAAGGTATTAAAATTGTCTTCCACATTTGAAAAAATTGTTTTCATTTGGGGTTTTGTGAAACTTTTGATTGAAGTTACACAAAGCTCAGATCTTTCTTTTACATTGAAATTTGTATTTTGTTTTTTAGGTTTGGATTGGGAAGTCAGACCAAATCCTCATCGTCATCTTCCTTTGTCTGCTTGAATTCCGCGTTTGGATTGATTGATTGATTGATGTGTTTTAAATAAACTGTGAAATGAAAGTAAGTTGTGTTTTAAATAAACTGTGAAATGAAAGTAAGTTGTGTTTTAAATAAACTGTGAAATGAAAGTAAGTAGGAAGAAAATAAAAGGAAGTTGGTTCACAAAGGGTATTCCATCTTTGCGTGTGTGTAGGGCAGCGATATCTCCGACACTTTGTGGAGGATATGCGGCTGTTCCCTGTTGGAGCTGTTCACCTCTGAAATATCATTATTTCTCTTCCACTATCTGCTTCCCTCAATCACTTCCCATTACGTGAACTCATGAGTTTGAGCTACTAAACTCACAATTAACTCACTCAATCGAATGTATTCGTGTCACGATCAAAATCCACCGTTAGCAGATATTATCTTTTTTGGGCTTTCCCTTGCAGAGATTGTCCTCTCTGGACTTTCCCTTTTGAGCTTCCCCTCAAGGCTTTAAAACACGTCTACTAGTGAAAGATTTCCACCTCCTCCCCAACGAATGTGGGACATCACAGCCAAGACACTGGCCCCAAAGTGGGATGGATTGTGATGTCCCACATTGGTTGGGAGGAGTACGAACCACCATTTATAAGGATGTGGAAACCTTCTCCTAGCAGACGCATTTTAAAGCCTTGAGGGGAAGCTCGAAAGGGAAAGTCCAAAGAGGATAATATCTGCTTATTTTCACATTTTCAAGCGACATGATCCACTTTGTTGATGTATGTAGTAACTTTCAATTCTTCTAAGTATTTCTTAATAATCTCAATCCTCAAAATCATTCTCATTCAGATGTGATCTCGATTCATTCATGTACTTCTCCTATACTCGGGTGTCATATATCCACTAGCTTCTGCCTTGTTTCGTCCCTGAATCACATCTTACTGGGAGAGCTACCTCTCTGATACCATTTGCAACGTCTCATGCCCAATATTTAGATTAGGATTTGACACCTGTTGGCGCCTTGACATTCCTCTCCACCATGGTCACATTAGTCATGCTCAAGAAGGAATGTGCACCTTGTTGGTATAGATAATAACTTTCAAAAGTCTTCGTTAATCATCTTATTCTTATAATCATTCTCGTTCAGATGAAGTTTAAGTTCATTCATATATCTCTCATTTTTACTCACTCACTCAATAGAACACATTTATTTACCAGTTCAACTCATCAAGCTAAGCAACTAAACACCATTATTGGCCAAACGCAATCCTCATTACTCGCTAGATTAATCGACACATAGTTAAGTAGTCAACGTTATCGTCACTTCAATCCATCAATTACACAATAACAAGGACAAACACATGCATTTATCACAAAACCATTTCAGCTTAGTTAACAAGCTTTCACCAACTAACACCCTTAGTCAACTCACTAATTTGGAATGTATCATATATAAGAAATATAAAACCAAACCAATAAGCATGAACATGGGATAAAAAAATGATCAAGGCACGAACACACAATTCTTAATTATTAAGATGCTTTGACCCATAAGGGGTAACACGAAGGAGGTAAAAAAGCGCATTTAATATGGCGCGGCGGAAAATGGAAAAAGGAACACATACACACACACACGTGCAGCAGACAGGCCGCCGGCAGGCAGCAGGCGAGTGAGAGTGAGAGCAACAGCTTCCGTCCCCATTCACAGCCCTCCGACACTACCATGACTTCACAACTCCGCGTCAGGATTAGTCTCCAGTCGTTTCCACTGTAGGAGGATGGCGGGAATGGGGTCTGTGTGTCTCAAATTATTATTGCTCTTTTATCCATTAGTCCACATCTCAAACCTTTTCTATGCTGACGGTTACTTTAGTTGGACTTTTTTTTTTTTTTTTTTTTTTTTTTTTTTTTTTTTTTTTTTTTTTTTTTTTTTTTTTTTTTTTTTTTTTTTTTT